GCGGTGAGGCACTGGCACAGGCTGCGCAGGGCAGGGGTGGAGTCACCATCCCTGGAGGGGTTCAAAAACCATAAGATTTGGCACTTCAGGACATGGTTTAGCGGTCACAGAGGTGTTGGGTTGCCCGTGTGATTTGATGATCTTAGAAGTATTTTCCAACCTTACTGATTCTACGATTCTGCTCTGCTTTCCATTTCCTTAAAACGCTGCCTATGTAGTAAGTATAAACAAGGGGCAAAACAATCGTGAAATTTATTTTCGGTCTTCCCTGCCTGCTGGCGAAGGCCCGTTGAGGACGAGTGTTAATTTAGTGGATTTCTCCTCTGTATTTCTAGGCTATAACCCCCTGTCTGGAGAAGGAGGTGGAACCTGTTCCTGGAGACCAGGCCGGAGAGGCCCGTCGGCAGGTGGATGAGGTTAACCTCCCCAGTGACTTGCGTCGCTAGAGCTTCGATCTTACCCACTGTCTGACTGCCTACGGTTTGCGTGTCACAGGGACTCCTTTGGGATTGGGCTTAGTGCAGGTGTTAACTCGAAAACAGATGTGCACCGTTTCCAAACAGTAGCGCAGAAGCTGACGCTACACAAGAAAAGTACCCGAATCCTCATCAAAAGGGTAAAGAAGGAAACGGTTTCGGTGTAGTCAGTTAATTTTTCACTCTACTAGAGAGGGGAAGCATTAGTCTCCATCCAAGGTGGGTGAATCAGGGATTCAAAGATCTGGGTTCTGTGGCTGGTTATTAGAAAGGGTGGCCTCAGGCAAATTTAATTATCTACACCTCGTTTACCTCTGTAGAATGAGGATATTTACAATCCTCAGATGTGTGTTACCAGATTTACTGTGTTTGACTGGAAGGTATTTTAGAGGGGGAGAATATGATCATCAGCAGATACCTTGAATTTTAAGCGGAGAGACTTTCATTAAAAAGAGGAACTGACAAATGCCACGGATTTGCACCGAAGGCCAGTTTTTGCAGAAGAGTCTCTGTGACAAGCTACTTTGAATGATGTTTTCCTTATAAATGGTGAACAAACCAGTGAGGATTACTGATGCTAGACAGCAGATGGGGGGCATTCTTGCTATTCCTGTTTTTTTTTTTTTAATTTTATTTTCATTTCAAACTGCTTTGTAAAAACAAAATACTATTAATATTAAATATAATTGCAAACAAATCATAAATCTGGTATTTAGTCTTCTGGGTTTCTGCAGCATCTTTTTATACAGAAGACATGTGTTCTAGTGCAATAAATGTGTATAAAGCAAAATGAGAGATCAAATGAAATGATTTTTCATTTGACTAGCTCCATAAACAGAAGGGGTGGTTTCAGTTGTTCTTTTTGGCTTTTGACACTTTTGTTTAATTTGGGTGTTCTGCCTTCCAAATAGTGAGTTTTAGAAGAGTCACCTTCAGGTTGAGACCAAATGAAGTTTTTCCCAAGTTTGAAAAGTGAAACTCTCCCGTTCTCTTGTTCTCTTCCCCTCACTCAGTAAGGAAGGCTGAAACCGGGCAAACTCTGAGGGGTTGTTGGGTGCTCTGGCTGTATTTGAATCTAAATCAAGCAAACGAAGGCCTTTGCTCTGGTAGAGCAGAGCTGGTTTCTTTACAAATTACCTCGACAAATCTGGTTTGGAGATTTGTGCTCAGGGTTGTGGTTTGTGCTGCAAAGGGCCTCAGGCTCGCAGACGTGTGAAGCTGGTGAGTGAAGGGCTGTAAGGAATAAGGAACTGAAGTGTGTGTGGTCTTCATCCTTCTGGTGTATATCCAGCACCGTGGAGAGAAAATAAAATTAGAGTTGGGCATCGTAAAGGAGCTTTCCAAATACCCCCTCAGTGGGTTCTCTAACACAAACTGCAGCAGGCTGCGGGAATGCTGGTGACACTTGGGCTGTGCTCTTCAGTAGGTGTGAGTGACAACTTGAAACAGGTTGTTTCTGTGGGTGTGGGTACCGCTCCATACCTGGACTGGTCTGTGATTTTTTTCTCTTGGCTATAAATGTAGCAGGAACACGTTACTAGTAGGTTTTAAAGCTGCCAGCTAATGAAAGGGAAAGGCAAAGAACGTTTTGCTTTAGACCCCTGAAGTGTGGGCTCAGGGGCTTGTGGAAGATGACGTGAGAAAGCTGTTCATGTTCCTGCAGAAACTGGTTCTCATTTCCTGACTTCTGTGAGCTTCGTTCTGTAAACTTAAATTTCCATTGTTGTAACGCAGACTGGTGTATGTAACTTTAGGTTTTAATCTTTCGTAAAGAAAAAAAAAACACCAACCAAGAAAAACAGAGGTGGGGAAGGATATTTTCAAGATCTGAAGGTTCTTCCTCAGTAAAGAGGACTAAGTTGTTACCTTACTCATGCCTCTGGGGAACATTTTCCCCTTCTGTTGGGGAAACAGGCAACAGACTGAGGTGGTGTCCTCAGAAAAACAACCGGGGGAGGTTGTTGTGTTAAAGAAGCAGAATTCCCTGTGTTGATGAAATGCTAAGGATGTGTTGATTGAATTCAGTACAAACATTTTAAGAGGTAAATAAGCAGGTCTGAACGGAGCATATGCTAGTCTTTCTCTGTGTCTCAAGGGTTGCTTCTAGCTGGGACTGGGGATATGGATTTTTGCCCAATTCTAAGATTTGTTAAGACATATCCCTATTAAGACAGTGAGAATGAAATTATATATGTATTTCTGGAAATGTATTTTTTCTTCCTTAATTTTTATTTCTTTTTTAATCCTCAAGTCCCCAAGTTTTTCTTGATCAGACACTTCTAAGCTATTGAACAGGGTGGGAGGAAGAACCTCAGTTTGTAAAACTTCTCTTTCTGGCTCACGATCTGCACAAGCAGAAAGAAATTGTTTTTTTTTTTCCCCTCTGACTTCAAATAGAAAGCTCTCCCTTGACCACAACAGGTATGAAAAGGTGGTTTGCTTTATAGCCTACGAATGAAATACGCAGAAGGCATTAGGTGAAAGTGAACTATTTAATGAATCCATTGTTCCTACTTTGGTATGAATTCCCAAGAACTTGAATTATGAAAATCATATTAAAAAGCCTTCAGGAGATTTCCTCCCCCCCTCCCCACTGCAACTTAGAGTCATTATGCAAGAAGCCTCTTACTCTGCTGATGCAGACATTCTGGAAATATCTTTATCTGGAAGAAGAAAGTTAATGCAATGCTATTAAACTGCTGTATAATGTTACTTAATCACTGAAGAGTAATCTATTTCTGGGTATTGAAGAATCCTAAGTCAAACAAGTGTTCTGGGGCACAAAAAAAATCCCAAAAATGTTAGTTGCTCAAGAACTGCAGCTGAGTATTTTTCATTGCCTTTCAGATGATTTTATATGCTGGAGGAACAAAGTTCTTTGTTTTCTTTAAATTGCAGATGAGGTCTAGTTTATGCATAGTTCTCTTAACTACTCATCAGGAGATCCTGAGCACTGGAATTTGAACAAAAAAACATGTCAATCAAAACTTATTTGGCTTTATTTATGCCTTTCAAAAACATTGTGAAATGAGGGAAAGCTTTTAAGAGTGATATTGCATACTTGTTTAAAAAGCAGATTCCTTATACTGAAATTTTAATAACGAACAACAGCAGATGGACTTTGGGGAATGAGGAGAAAGGAGGAATCTGTCAGCAGCGCTGTTCCGGAATTACCTGTGCGTAATTAAAGATCAACGCGAGCGAAAAAGATAATTGCACCTTTATCTGCAAGGAACTGCTCTCCTAGCAGAGGCTGAATGCAGGTGTGAAATGTGAGCACCAGCTGACCTCATCTGCTGTGTTTTGTACAGTTCTGGGCTGTTCTGACTCAAAACTCGAGGCTGTTCTGCAGTTGCTCCATGCCCAGTCTGCTTTCCTGCTTAGACTGTGCCGATACTCAGCTCACGTGTTTGGCTTGGGGTGATTTTTTTTTTTGAGGTTTGTGTCTTCTTTTTTTTCCCCCCTCCCGAGGAAGATGACCAAGGAGAGCATGAGCATTCAGAGAGCTCTCGGAACAAGGACAGTAGCCAGCGTGACGGTCTCCCGTAAGTTTTAACAGCAGCGCCACGGTAAATGTCTGCGTTTCAGCCATCCTAATGAGGCAGCGCCCATCTCTGGCTGTTGTGTCTTTTTTAAGCCTGGCTACGTGTCAGCACACATCCCTACATCAGAGCAAATCCACCTTTGGGATGATTTTTTCCCTTGTACAGGCAAAAAAGTGACAGCTTGTCAGAGATCAGGTTAGCCAAGAGTGGGGCATGGTGTTTTTCTGCCCATGGTATTGCTGAATGCTGAAACTATAATTTCCAACTGTAGCAAAAGCCGGTCTAGACTTGAATGAGCTGAAGACTTGGGTTTTAGTTTTTGTTGGTTTTTTTTTAATTTTCCCTTTGGACTGAAAGCTTAGCTTTTGGAAGAGCTCTGCAACCACAAAGGAAAAGCATACGGCGGCTGGTTGGGTGGTGTCCTGGCTCCGTTGCACCGTTGTAGCTGATTTTGCATGAGCTTCCAAGCCAGCTGTTCCAAGCCTACCACACACACCCTGCCCATACTCTTGGCTCCAGAACTACCAGCTTCAAAAACTTTCATCAGTTTTTACAAAGTCAACCTATGGCTGTAATGGAATAGGTCTCCTTGGCTCAGTTTTGGTGGTGAATAAGCACATTTTCCCTGCAGATTTCTGTTGCAAGGGGCTGGCACGTATGCAGCCATTGCTCTGATGTGTTTTTTTTTTTCTTTTTTCTGTGATCGTTTGTGTTCTGAAGCACATACCTGCTAAAAAGCACTTTTAGCGGTGATAAATTAATAATTTAATTCCTCTGTGTCTACTGTAGTTTACTAATGAAGATTTTTCTGTGTGCTGCTTGGCAAGCTCAGCTTCAGAGCTGGTACTGTGGGTAACATTAACAGAAGGCTGGCAAGGAAAAGAACTTAAAAAATTATATTTAAAGTGAATGGAAGGGAAAAGGATATGCTGGAGTACCTGGCTGTTCAGTCTGGTTGCAGTGCTCCGCTGTGTGCGTTGGGCTGCCCTACAAGACACACCTTCCAAAACACCACCCCTGAACCTGGTCCTTTATCACACTTTACTTTATCGCGTGCTGGAGAGGGTAACATTCCCCGTAAATTCAGCTCACGGCTCCTGAGGTAATGTAATTTCCACGGCGTTAACTGCTCTTAGGCGGGCTGCATCTTGATGCCTGCTGGACAAATACACGCTCTCGACTTTCTCAAGGGTTTGGTGACTCCAGGGGGGCTGTAGCCCATTAAAACTACATCAGCTCCCCTTCCCTGCTGCCTCGATGCGCCCCGGCAGCGCTGCTCCCATCACCAGGGTGAGAACGGGAGGCTCAGGCAAGCAACTGAGGAGCTGTGTGGGGAGCAGAAGGGTTTTTTTTCCATCCCCTCCTACACCTCCGAAACCCTAACTCGGGTTCCC